GGAACTGAGCTCGGGCAGGCTAGGTCTCAGGCATACTTTCATTTTCTTGTCACTGACTTTCTTCAAGATAACAGATCACTGGGTGTGTGTTGCAGAAAACTCACAACGGTGCAGCCGCATCTGTCAAACTGTCAGGAGGTGAAAACTCCCACCTGAGAGGCGGGAGAAAAATGGCTAGTCACAGCAGCCGCTTAGGAACGAGGTTCCAATTTAGCCGAGTTCTATTTATCATGCATTAGGGTTACCTCATCAGGGCAGCCATGGCTGATGCTAAAATCGAGTTTAAACAGCTAAGTGACTGTTTGATACTCAAAGAGTCCATTTTATTTTCTTACTTTTCTGAGACTCACACTGAAAGACACGCTTGAAGAAGATTTTTGAATGGTTTTGGCCACACCACATAAAAGAATTACGTTATTGCCTCAATGCATGCATGCATGCTAAGTCACTTCTGTTGTGTCCAACTCTTTGTGACCCTATGGACTGTAGACTTCCAGGCTCCTCTGTCCATGGGATTCTCCAGTAAAGAATACCAGAGTGGGTTGCCATGCCCTCCTCCAGGGGATCTTCTGACCCAGGGATCGAATCCACGTCTCCTGCATTGGCAGGCGGGTTCTTTACCACGGAGTCAACTGGGAAGCCCCAGGAAAGCCCTGTGCTTTGCTTAAATGAACCTGCTGCTTCCGTTCAACTCTCATGGCCTCCCACCTCTGGCCAGTCTCCCTGTTTGATTAAAATTTCTCCCAGCTTCTGACTCCCCTTTGGATGTTTTCTGGTGACTCTCTATTGTTTTTTAAAAAAATATTTATTATTTATTTAATAGCACTCAGTCTAAGTTGTGGCATGCAGGATCTAGTTCCCTGACCAGGGATTGAACCTGGGCCCCCTGCATTGGAAGCACAGCATTTCAGTCACTGGATCCCCTGGGAAGTCCCCAGGTGAGTCTTTGAAACCCTTAACAGGAGGTTACTAAACTCAGTCATAATTTGCCATATTGGCGCAATAAGCATGAAAAAAAGAAAAAAAGGAAGCTAGTGTTTGCGGTGAGAAAATAGAGACAAATGCACTGATAGAAACAGATGAGAAATCATGTAAGCATAGTCCCCCGGCAGGCCCGGTTATACTCACAATAAATGCTCCCTGAGACTATATGGTCTGATCCTTGCAACCAAATAAGTCTTGACTAGAACATACATACTCACTGAATTTTTCACCAGCCAAGGAGGACGTATTATTCCCCCATGTACAGAAATATGCTCAAGGTCATACACTAAGTAGCATAGTTGAAATATCTCCACCTTCAAAACCTATTCTCTAAGAGGCTACAACGGGGTGGTTTATTCGTCCTCAGGAAAGGTGCTGTCCTGAGTATTACATCATAGGAAAGATGCTATCTTGGGTATTACTTCACAGAACAAAGTAAGGACGTCTGCAGCTGGGAGGCAGCCTGAGAAGTTATGTGAGCAGTCCTGTGCTGGAGACCATCACAGCACAAGCAGAAACAGATTTGCAAATATTTTTTCTCATCATTTGAGGGCTGCTACTGCTGCTAAGTCGCTTCAGTCGTGTCCGACTCTGTGCGACCCCACAGACGGCAGCCCACCAGGCTCCGCCAACCCTGGGAATCTCCAGGCAAGAACACTGGAGTGGGTTGCCATTTCCTTCTCCAATGCATGAAAGTGAAAAGTGAGAGTGAAGTTGCTCAGTCGTGTCTGACTCTTCACGACCCCATGGACTGCAGCCTACCAGGCTCCTCCGTCCATGGGAGTTTCCAGGCAAGAGTACTGGAGTGGGGTGCCATTGCCTTCTCCGATTTGAGGGCTACTTTTACTTTTTTGATAGTGTCATGAGTTTTACAGTTTTATTTTTACATTTAGATCTATGATCCACTCTGAATTAATTTTTGTGTATGAGACAGGGGTCCAAATTCATTCTTTCGCATGTGGATATTCAGTTGTCCTAGTACTATTTGTTGAAAAAACTATTTTTTCCCCTATTGAATAGTTTTGGTACAAACATCAACTGACATATATATGGTTATACAACTCTCTGAATGTACTAAAGGTCACTGAATCAAGCATTTTAAATTGGTGAATTTTATAGCTATCTGAATCATATCTCAATTTTAAAAAAAGGTCAGTTGTAAAAATAAATTCTATTCAACATTAATAAAAACTAAAAGAGCAAAAAATAAAAAATTAAAGGAAATCAGGAATGGGGTTTGGCTTAATCATGTTCCCCATCACTTCCAGCCATCTTGTTCCCATAATCAGGACCTAAGGCGGGAGGAGGGGTCACCCCAGACAACGAGCCTCTCAGCAGAGCACGGGGAAGTGGGGAAAGACAGACAGAAAGACATTCCAGGCAGGATGGAGCAGGGGCGGGGCAGTGAGTGAGGGGGTGGTTCAGATGAAAAATTTCCTGTTTCCTAGTTTTAGAAGGCATCAATCATTAGTAAAAGCCGAGTGAGTATTTCACGACCATTCAATACTTATTCTTGACTTATTTTTCTTTCTCCTTAATAAGTGAGTTAAGAATTCATTCATTTTTCACCCAGAAGTAGAAGTGTGTGCTCTCTTTCTTTAGCCACAGTCTCGTCACGCCCGATGCAAACAGGTGACCTCTTGGCCAACACGCTTTTCATCCATATTCTTTCAAATCGACTCCTGGACCAAACGTGGGACCTGATCAGGACCCAGTGTGGGATGCTGAGCTGAAGGGAGCCTCATCCTAAACTGTTCGGCTTCATTCTCTGCTTTCTCAAACCACATGTATCATCATTCATACAACTGACCAGCGTGCTGCAACAGCCACCACTCAGGGCTGTCTCCTGTCTCCCCGATGCCACACGCACGCCTGGCTAGTCTGAGGTCCGTCCCTTCCTCCACCAACCTTGCTGCTCAGTGCTGTAACCCCCACCACACCTCCTTGCCCGCTAACTCTTGCCAGCTCAAATCTTCACAGTACAGAGGCTGGGCTTCCTGATTCCAGATGGCAGCCTTGAGGCATCCATTAACACACATTGACTCGACTTTTAAGCAATGCCTCTGGGGCACAGAAGACGCTGATTTGGCACTCCTAGCAGGCTGATCGTTTATTTCTGTTACAAATTAGTGTTTTCCTTAGCACCTTTTTCTCAGCTGGAGAGAGCATTAGACAGGGAACCAGAAGGCCAGGCATGAGACCTGGTGTCTCCGTGTTGGTTGAGGTCAGGGGACTTACACAGTGATCTGGGTCTCCACTTCCTCGTCTATAGGGGCCAGCAGGCGATGTCCATCTTTCCACAGCACAGGGCTGTACTGGGCCTCACCATCAGTCATTCCCTGCCTCATTCCCTTGGTCCTGGTTAAAATACTGCCATGTCCACTGAGTCTCAGAGGGGGAGTGAGGACCACAAATGACCTAGGCCCCCAGCACGCCCTGCTACTTCTTTAGAACACGCATCATTCCTGAGATTGCTAGATCAATGCTGTGCCTTCCCAGGTGGCGCTAGCAGCAAAGACTCTGTCTGCCAATACAGGAGACATAGAGATGCAAGTTTGATGCCCGGGTCAGGAAGACCCCTTGGAGAAAGGCACGGCTACCCATTTTAGTATTCTCGCCTGGAAAACTCCATGGACAGAGAAGTCGGGCAGACTAGAGTCCATGGGGCCCCAAAGAGTGGGACGTGACATCATAATTCAATGCTGGTTTTTCTCCTCATTTCCTGTAGGGCCCTGTAAGCTCCATGTGGAGAGGGGCAGTGCTTGTCTTGTTCAGGACTATCTCTGTGTCAGTAACTATCAGCTGGTGGAGTAATGAATCTTGAAAGTGAAAGTGCTCTTTAGGCAAGAAGCTGCAGTTACTACAGTGGTTCTTATTGTTATTACTATAGTAATATAGCTATAGTAGTAATAGAGGTAGTTATGGTGGTTTAGAAGCTAAGTTGTGTCTGACTCTTGCAACCCCATAGACTGTAGCCCGCCAGGCTCCTCTGTCCATGGGATTCTCCAGGCAAGAACACTGAAGTGGGTCGCCATTTCCTTTTCCAGGGGATCTTCCTGACCCAGGGATCCAACCCAGGCCTCCTGCATTGCAGGCAGATTCTTTACCAACTGAGCTACGGGGGAATAGAAACTGAATTATTTGCAGCATTGTCACCATCAAATATACAACAGAAAGAGAAGCGCACGATGGTATTTAATAGCATTGATATTCATCATAAACTCTTCCTCTTTTTCTGATCCATCCTTTTAATGGATAGAAACAAATAAATATATGATTAAACTGCCACATAAGTACAGCCTACAGTAATGGTTCAGAGGACAGTATTTTGCTTCCTAATTGCCAATCCTTGAAAGGTACCAGTCCCCACCTGGAGAAAGACCCAAAGGAAAGACAGAAGGTGTGTTCTCACCCTGGAGCAGGTAATAAACCCTTCCCCATATTATGGATGAAAGCACGTTAGTCGCTCAGTTGTGTCTGACTCTTTGTGACTCCATGGACTGTAGACTGCCAGGCTCATCTGTCTGTGGAATTCTCCAGGCAAGAATACTGGAGTGGGTTGCCATGCCCTTCTCCAGGGGATCTTTCCAACCCACGCTTCTTATATCATGTTGCTTAGGAAGCTTAGAGACAAAGAACAACAGACTATGTGATACACATAGTTCCTTCCCAGGTACATGGCGAGGTACCCACGTAAGTGAAGTGATCTTGACTGCCCCTCCTCCCAAATAACTCAGGCTTTTGGAAAAGAATAGTTTTATAACACTCAATGCAACAACAAAATTCCTCATTGATTCAGTACCACTGGTCTATTACCTCTGTGCATTCATTCACCGGAAAGTTACCAAATCCCTAGTGTGTATCTAAAGAGATGCTAGGTCCTGGGGATAAAGGATGGAGCAAAATACTGCCCACAAGTTTGGGCAGATCTAGAGCTTGGAGCGCTATGGGTTTTCCTGTATAAAATAAGTTGAAGGCTTTTGTGGGTGAGTTTTAGAAATGACATTGTTCCGCACCTGGAGGCAGGCTGGGGCACGTCCCTGGGGCTTGTTGACGTCCACCGCTACCAGCTGCCACCCGCCGGCAGCGTCTTCGTGAAACATCTTCAAGACAAAGAAGGAGATGAGTCAGAAACACTTCCAAGGGAACATCAAGAACTCTAACTTTGACTCCAGCTTTTTACATTTTCATCTTATCAAAGATTTGTCTTCTTACACTTTTATATTCACAGCATGAGTCACTCCAGTGATGTTCATTTTAACACTGCAAACTTAAGTGCATAATAATAATAAGGATAATGGCTTGCATTAATTGAGCACTTGCTATTTCTCTGGCCCTTTCTGCCTTGAATATGCTCTGCATAGAATTACCCAAATATTCTTCCCCAGAAGACTTTACAGTAGGTATCTTATTCCCATTATGTTGATTATTATATATTAGATCTCAGAGAAAATAATAATTAGAATACCAAAGCATTGCATGCTTTAACAAAAAGTGGCAAATTTTGATCTTTATTTAATGGAGAGTTCTCACTGAACCAAAAGAAAAGAATTCACAGGATAAGTAAGAAATGTGCATGTAGCCTAGAGAAAGAGGGGGGTGCTGTTTTAATGGAAGGAGAATGACAAATCACTTAAAAGTCCTTGTGAAATCAGTTTACATAGGCCACAGTTAATCTGCTCGGCAAAAACTTCATGTACACATTTATGAAGCGAAGAAGTCATTTCTTTTATCTCAGAAGACATAAGTGATGAAATTCAGGATAGTACAGGATGCTAAAATCTGACATTGAATTAGACAACCTTGCTGGATGTGTAGGTTACCTAACTTACACTGCACTACCTCAAAATTTAGTGATAACTAAATCAATATCAATAATGCACTAAGCTGGAAGGCATTTACCACATATAAATATTTTCCCACTAATATATATTTTCTTTTCAATTCCTTAGGTGTGCATGTGGGAGTGTGGTGGAATAGGGTGGAATTATGGCTCTTTATTTTTTACGAAAAGTCACAACTATAAGCACTCACTGTTTTATTCCCGTCCGAGTTCACTATTTCACACACGTAAACACTTTCTTTGCCATATTTATGTCTTCCTGTTACTCTGACCCTGGGATTGTAAGGGTAATTACTGATGGAAATATGAGATGATGCCAAGATCCCATTACCTAGGATTTATAATTTCAAACCCCTGGTAACAGAGGTAGTAGATCGTTTTTTTGTTTTTTTGTTTTTTCCCCATGAGGCATGCAGGATTGTAGATTCCCCCACCAGGGATCAAACCCAGGCCCCCTGCAGTGGAAGCACTGAGTCTTAACCATGGAACTGCCAGGAAAGTCCTCATATATGTATTTTTAAAATGACAAAATGGAGGTGCACCTTTATACAAAGGTTCTCTGACTCAAGATCCCAATTACAAATGATTTTTTTCAGCTGTCGATTTACAGGATGTTGATTCCCTTTAGGCTGAATCTTAAAAGGTATGTTTAGTGGTAGAATCAAGCACAGGCATCACAAATAGACTCGTTCTCAGAATACATACACTGGTTGACATGCAAACATGTATAAGAGCCTTTTAAAATACCTGTCAAATGTCTGGAAGTCTCCTTTTAAGGAGAAAAGACAAAAGCGATCCTGCCAGTCACTAGGTACGAACCCTCTGTATAAGCATTCTCTTCTCTTATCACGGGGCAAAAAATCCCTGGGGCACACATTTGCTTTCATCAGCAGCAGACTAATTTTCTGTGTTAAATTATTTTTTTTCCAGTCAACCAAAATCAAATGAATCAATTTAATTTTTAGTGAAAGTGTTCTCTCAAGGTTACTTCTTTGTATGACATAAAGTGAAGAAAATGCAAATATGGTCAATTTCTCATTGGTTCTCTGAACACACATCTAGCTTGGTTAAGAAAACAGTAGCTACACTAAGTATACATGTAACAGTGTGATATCCAGAGACATAAATCCGAGGGACCTGAAGCTCCCAGGGGAGTACGGCAGGGACTGCCAGTTGTCACTTCCTATCTGTTCTCCTTGTCTTCCAAAGTAAGAAAAATTTTATGACCATTAAAGAAAAAAAACCCCACAACGAATTCTTTTTCATCTTTGAAGCTCATCTTGAATCATGTAATTATACATTGTCCATGAAATGCAAGCGGAAACTTTCTGTTTTTTTCCTTCCTGCTCTCTGGAATATTGATGTAAGGGTTAGCACTACAGTAGCTATTTTAGACTAGGAGGCAATTTTGGAAATGGAAGTTCTGCAAGGTAGAGCAAAAAGGTGGAAGGATTCTGTATCTGTAGAACACAGACAACCATAACAACCTTGAATGACATACTCCAACTTTACATGAGAGAGAAAGGAACTCTATTTTACGTACAGCACTTTTTGAGGCCTTCTGTCCCTTGTGGCTGAAACTAACTTAACACAAGTGGCTTCAGTTTGAATGTCCAATGAATTGGTTCATTTTAAAGACATTAAATGTTCCCCTCAAATTATATTATTAATACGGGTTTACTATTAAATCTTCAAAATATGTATGAGCTGTAAAAAAATCTTAAACGTATTCTCCAGAGACAACCACCCCTAACATTTTAGAGTTAACCTTCCAGGTATTATAACCACATACATGTACATACAAACACAAGACCTTTCTATTGCATTAATATGTTATTTGCATATTTCCATATAATAAAGTTCCATCATGACTTAGTGGTGTGCATTTATTCTAATTTTATAATTTAAAATCAGTAATTTATTGCTAGAGTTAATCTTCTTCCTCTCTCTCTCTTTTGGCTTTTTTTTAAACTTTTTTTTTCCATTTATTTTTATTAATTGGAGGCTAATTACTTTACAATATTGTAGTGGTTTTTGTCATACATTGACATGAATCAGCCATGGATTTACATGTATTCCCCATCCCGATCCCCCCTCCCACCTCCCTCTCCACCTGATTCCTCTGGGTGCTTCCAAAATGCTTCCATAAACATTCTCAAATGTATATCTTTGAGCATTGTCAATAATTTTTTTAGGATAAATTCCTAGAAGTGCAATCTCTTTGTCAGGTAGTTTATATGTTTTTAAGGCTTCTGATACATACTGACAAACTGTTTTGTAAAAAGCATGCTCCAATTTACAGTCTTAGTAATAATATATGAAAGTAACCCTTTCTCCACCTTTCAGCCAACAAGAAAACTTTTTGTTTTTTAAGAGAAGAGATGCCAGAAAAAAAGATAGTGCATTGACAGCAGGGGTGTAAACACTAAATTAAAGGGAGGTAGGATCTCAGTGGGCAAAACTGAGTGGGCAAAAAAAAAGACCCTTAAGGTCGAGGAAGCTGGTTTTGAGTGCCATTTCCACCAAGGGCCAGGTATGTAATACTGGATCAAATAATTAACTTTCCAATCCTTGTATTTTTTCAGTCTGCAAAGCAGAATAACAGTACCCACTTCACAACATTATCATGAAAATTAAATAAGACTGCTTTAAAGTCAATAGGGCAGACCATGTTGTGATTTACTGGGATAGTGTATGAATTAATGGAATATTACCAATGAGCACTCTCCTCTTAGTACAATCACATGGGGATCCACAGAGATTTCAATCTTGAGAATCAGCTCATGCTTATCTGTTTGCAACTGTTTGGCAGGGTCTTATAAAGTGCCACTTGATTTAGCTAAGAAATTTGCTTTGGGGAGTTTTCTAGTTTAGGCAGAATATCATCAGCAGCAACAACAATGACAGGTTATTTAATGGTAGGTGGAAGAGAACGAATCTTGGTAACATGGGCAATCACTAGCAACTGAATTAAAATTCCAAACCCAAGACTTATATACACATTTGTTAACGAACAGAAAATTCAAAATTTATTTTGAAATTCACATGCTCTCTGGGTTCTTTTCAAAATCATCATCTTTAGAAAAAAAGGGGGAATAGTCATTATCACAGAGCATAATGAGGGTAGATACTTGACTTGATTTTGCTATTAAATAATATATTCAATGACTCAGGGTTACAAAACACAATTCTCATTTATGGCTTCCTGTGATGAATGCATTATTCCATTACCATAGTTTCTTATTAGAAGGAGCTCACTATTGTACCTCCTACAATAACCCTTCCCAGAAACTGCTTTCACTAAATTGCTTTCTCACATATTTTAATGATGTATATTCATGTGGAAACCAATGGTCTTAAAATGCAGTAAACACATTTTTACTAAAGTGTTGTCTTGGAACATTACGTGGTACACAGTCTTTTTATAGAGGAGAATTTCTTTTCATTTTTAATCACATGCCTTTTCATCTGTGCCTCTCAGCCTTTTAATCTGAACTGCACACTTCCACAGAAGTTGTTCAGGTATTGGAGGAACTCATATTCTGAGAATGCTCACAGACCTACAAAGGAGGACGAACCCCTGTGTCCTTGTATCAGCTACACCCTTATCAGTCTTCCATCTTCAGAAAACATGAACCAGCAAGTCAGAGACAATGACAGATCCAGGAATGATTGCTATTAGACAATCAGAATATTTATTTACGTGTCCCTCAATATGACTTTACTGGGTCATGCTTTGCATATAAAAGTCGGGTGGGTTTTGATGGGCAGAGGCTGTTTTGTGTCTCTCGTCACATAAAACATAGCCTTTGGGGGCCCTACAGTTTGATAGTTCTTTCAGTTCTAAGCTCATCCCTATCATGAACCAGCCTAGATCAGAGGACCACACAACTGGCAACAGATATCCGAGATGAAGTGTCTAAGGATGGGCATGCAACTCTGGACTGGGGGATACATGGTGCTCAGGATACGGTCCACTAGCACATCAGCCCATCCCAACATCCAATTCTGGGCCAACACCCACTACGGACTTGGAGCATGGGGAGTCCTACTGTGGGCTGACACAGGGGACTACGGCATCCTGGATATATGAATCTCTTGCACTTTAACCCAACACATAACTGAGCAAGTAGCAACAGTGACCCGTGTCTAATAACTACAGGTGCCAGAGACACTCTCCCCATCAGAGTTCAGGCAAGCTACTGATTACTAATCCGAAAATTTCCACATCATTTTCCCTTTGTTTTCCTGCGTCCTGCTCTATTATGGCCTCCACAAGACCTTTGGCATTAATTTTTCTGTAATTTGTTTCTGTACTGTGACTTGGAGGGAGGCTGCTTTGTTATTTTAAAGAAAACATTCTCATCGATGATTCTCGTTTGCCTTTGAACAGCCTGCATCAGAGCCAATTCCTACCAAACCTCCTAAGATGTGGGAAAGCCCCTACTTTATCCTGTTAATGTGTATAATTTCCCTTTCTATAAACACAGACCTGGGCAAGTCCAGGGACTTAGAAACATCACTGTGTCCACCAGGCCTGGGACCCTCTCTACCCATCTGTGAGGATACGTTACAGAGAACAACTGCAGATGACCTACATACTAGAGGAAAGTGAGAGCTGACTTCATTTCGGAAAGGCTGTGTGCTTCACAATACACAACCATTTTTATTTCCTGAAAGCCCATCTGCTTTATTAGAATTAGAAACTTCCGATTTAGTGTCTTAAACCAGCTAAGGAGAGGTCCTCAGGCACAGAGCTGTATCAGATTTTACAAATGTAACAGAATCATGGCAGATGACATTTCTCCCTTCCACACACACACAAAAGCATCTGGATCACTTGCTGAGGGGCTGGGGAGGGGCTGGGCGGGACCTGTGGCCTGTTGCCAGGCAGCCCAAGTGGTGGTTTACCAGGGAGGCTGCTGCAGGAGCTATCGGTTGCCTAGCAACCGGGTCCTCAGCCACAGCGTTTTTCTTAATGAAGGTTTTTCACAATTCTCTGTGTGATTACCTCTGCCGAATACCTAGACGCATTACCTCTGAATTACTAGCTTATTCCTCCTGATTAAGGGCAATTTTGCATCCAAGCAATTTTGTACAACTGTGTTCACAGTCTCTCCACATTTCACTTCCTGGGAAAACTGCTGGCTGATTTGGTGGCATTTCCAAACACCACTTTTCCAGCTGTGGTTTGACAAGTAAGAGTTACTTAATGAGCATTATGTGGTTTGAAGGATGTTTTAGCTCCTCTCTCGGGAATATCAAATGTGGATTCTGTGTGGAGTTCATAGATCTATATTACACTTCATTCTCAATGTCTATTTTGAAAAACACACCTTCATGAGGGTGTCACTCTACTTAAAAGACAAGCCAGCAATGCACTTGGTACTGTATAATTTCTCATAGTTCATTAAAAAAAAATGAGAGCAGAAATATCTGGTGGACTCGCTGAAGGTTTTCCTACACGCCATCTGTGATATAACCTAGGTGACACCTAAAAAAATCTTCCATGGAAGATATGAATAGCAGTTTGACAAAACTGAAAAATATTAATACTATTTCATCTATAATGAATTGGTTAGACTATTTGAAATTTCACAACATCACAAAGATGCTGCATAAGGCTTTCCTAAATATTATCATGTTTAATAGCATTTTTGCTGTTAGCTGTCAAATACAATTATTTTATTATTTTTGTTACTTTTGCACTTCTCCCTAATTTTATTCCTCTTCTTCCTCATCTCCACCCTAGTGAGCCACTATCCTGAATTTTTTTCTTTAATACATAGTCATAAATACAATTATTTTTAAAAAATAAAAAATTATTTTAAAGTAATAATTTGGAGGTTTTCAAAGTAAAATTCATACCTTGAATCTTGAGATATCTTTGTCTTAGTAGACTTGTATATATATTCACAAACTTAAACTTATCTTAAAATTTAACATTAATAGCATTTCATTCTCAATTAAGGAATTTTTATTTTCTCTTTTATAAAGATTCATACCAGAAAAAGATATTTATAAATCTATTCCTTTCTAACCAAATAAACTAATACACAAAACAAAGCCAAAAATAAAAACAAAGACATTTTATCTGAATTACCCTTTTATGTAATAAATGCCATGCTATTTTTATATAGCATGGTCACTTCCAATTTCTTAGGAGCATAGGGGAAACCTTCTGAACATGCAGCAATTCCTCAAATTCACAGGCAAGCATTTGGAATTGAGGGGTTTATTCTATTATGATTGCTTTGTTCTGAATGAGATAAACTTTCCATTCAACAATTTTCATCCTTTACATATGGGCCATTATATTGGTTTTCAAATATATCTTTATCTATAAAAATGGGAAATTCCACAGTTGTTAGACTTGTATTTTTCTCTGTGGCTGTGCCAATTCTTAGTTGCAGCATGCAAATTCTTGGATGCAACATGTGTCTAGTTCCCTGACCAGGGAATGAACCTGGACCCCTGCATTGGGAGCATTAAATACCAGCCACCAGGGAAGTCCATCCAGTTGCTATATTTTATCTGCAAGCCCTCTAAGGACATGTGAAGGCAGAATCAAATCAAAGGTATGTAACAAATGTGATGATAAGCATGGTTGTGTATCAACCACACGCCAGGCACTGTTATAAACACAGGTGCCATCACCCCTAGGGTCTGATTTGGTTGTTCTGGGTTTAGGCCTTTGCATCTGTTTAAGTTTAAGCACCTCCCTCAATGAGTCTGGCCTCAGAAGCCCATGATAAGAGGGTCTGTCAAGTTCCATCAATTCCCATGGGTGGTGCGGAGGGACACACTCGCCCAGTTCCAGTGAATGACGTCATCGTCTCCGGGTGACGCCATCACCCCAGCAGGTACCTACCTGCGTAGTGGCCGTGGAAGTAGTGTTGCTTCTCGACCCCCACATCTGTTGAAACTGTACCCTGATTTCTGCAAATGTTTCGATGATGACAGCGATGAACACGTTCTGCAAGAAAAGGACAGGCCACATTTACCAAAGGCTGGGCAAGAGCGAGGGAGGGCCATCAAAACCAAAGGATCTGCAGAAACTGTCAGAAAACTTAGACCTGATGAGGAGGAAGTGCGAGAGTACCTTAACCAGCCAGGCGAGGAAGAAGATCAGGGTGATGAAGTAGAAGTAGGAACGCCAGCGCGGAAAGCTGTCGATGGCTCGGTACATGAGGAACACCCAGCCTTCCTGGGATGCGGCCTCGTACACAGTGAAGATGCTGGTTCCTGCCCAGACAGAGGGAGGGGGAGGCTGGCTGAGTTGGGGTGGGCTTTTGAAATGAAAGGACATTTTTCAGAAGAACAATATTTATCCATGATCATTTTCTCAATGACAAGAGCGCTTCTAAAGGGTCTCAAATCACATGCAATGTTTTACTGTTCTTGTTCCTAAGAATTTCTCTTTTTACTTGAAGTAACAGTGTCTACTATTCAGCAAAGTGAATCAGCTACTCCTATACATATATCTCCTCTTTCTTTTTGGATTTCCTTGCCAGTTAGGTCACCCTCCAGTCTTGAATAGACTTCCCTGTACCACACAGTAGGTTCTCATTAGTTATCTATTTTAAACATGGTACCAATGGTGTTATTCTTGGAATTTTGATAAAGTTGTTTCTGAGTTCAAGCTAGGGCAATTTTAATATCTCTAGCAATAAAATAATTTTAGGTTATAGCATTTGCTGTAACGATGTGGAAAATAAAACTAGCATTCAAGTAAAGATATAATAATAAAAAAGGATGTGTACCATTACACTTGCCACTTGGGGCTTAACACTTTTAGGTGCTATAGTTTGAACTGAAATGCAGTAAATTGGAGAACAGGGTTTCATTTGAAATCACGTTCTCATAGGATGAACTAAAGTCACCCAAAATTCATGTCATGGAGCCCATCTTTGGGTTCCATGGTGTTTCCTGAACACCAAAACATAAGGTAGTAAATCATTGAATAGGACTTTGTATTTTCGGGGAGAATTCTCTCATTGAAAATACTACTATTAATGCAAAGAAGGGCAAGGGAACAATATGTGGGCAGATTTTTGAATCTATGGTTAAGAGGAAAGTCGGTATTTAATCCTCATGGCATTATGAGTATGTGTCATTATTTCCTTATTTTGAAGAGGGGAGAGATAAAGCACATAAAGTGTAGGGAATCTGTCTAAAGTGTAGGGAATCTGTCTAAGGCACACAGAATAAGTAGGGGAACTAGAATTAGCCCAGTCGTTCTGGAATAGGGACCTCCATGTTTGTGAGGCAATTAATTCTGTCTCCTGCTACCTTTTCTGTGCCTTGGTTTTCCCATCTATAAAATAGGAAGATAGTAAGACAAATATAGGTAACATTTTCACCTCAACAAATTCCACTGCTATAAATGAAATAAATTATTAAAGGACATAAAACTTATTTCCACCCATATATGGGCTCATCACCCAGAAATTGAAAACTAGAAGGTGTGTACAACCAAATGTCCAAACTAAGACAGAGGTTACTAAAGTTGGCTGATGTCTGACAGCCTCCCTGGGTCTGTGGGTGCAGGAAGGAGAATCAGAGCACCAGCGAATTCCAAAGCACCCAGAACAGCAGGAAAGTGTAGCAGCAAATGGGGACAAATGAGAAGAAACAAGGATTAAAAGAAAAAAAGTACTCATTTGGTATAACCTTGCCTCACCAGTAAAACCACTTTATCAGTTACCTCACCATTTACAGCACTAAAGCTTTGAGATGAGATCAAAGGCCAAATAGGAAAAAAAAAAAAGCATCTGTATATTTACATATATTTTTTAAGTTAAACTTCGTTATAAGCCATAAAGATTCGTACTTGAAACATATTTCTTCAGAGAGAGAATTTCTAAATGCCCAAGTGCTAAATATAGAATACTTGTAGAAAAGGGGAGTTGAAAGCTTTAACTACAGGATTCACAAATGGAAAAGAAGTGTTGACAAGGCCGATGCTGACACGGGCAGGAAAGTTTAGGCGTTAAGAAGAGCAGTTCCAAGGATGCTGAGTCCACAGGCCAACTAAAACACTCCCTGCCTCTGCAGCTGGGCGATTTCCACGGAGGCGAGAGCTTAGAGCTGCAGAGCAGAGGTCACGACTGTCACGCCCCTGCCTTTGAAGAGCAGAGATTTTAGATCAAAAGAGCTCGGGGGAAATTTACTTTCCATTAGTTGCTTAAAAAACAGAAGAAAACTGTGCTGAGCCACAGTGAGCGTTCGGCGACCTTCCTTGGCTTTCAAATCGCCCACTCTTCTGACCTGGTCACCTTCCATGGGCTCTGCCCATGCAGATGTCTGTGCGTCACCACTAACACACGGAATAAATGTTACTTAGTAGCTTTTACAATTTTCTCCCAAAGCAAGCAAAACATATCATGCGGGAAATGTGGTTTCTTTTAGAGTGTTTGAGCTTCGTCACCCACTTTTGAAAGATCTATTGGAAAGTACATTCAAAAAAATCAAGGCCAAAAGGGCAGGACTTCATGTCATTCTTAGGGAGTTAACATTTATGACATTAGAATTTCACAATAGTCCAAAATTAGAACCAACTATTTGGAGGAAGTACTGAGGCTATCTTATCTTCGAATTTGGGGGCACTTATTGTTCACATTTCTGCATTATCATGCATAAGCAAGGGAAATAAGAATTAACTTTAAGGCGAGGTTGGTCCGTCTACCTCAGAAGAGCCACAATAGTTAGAATTTCTTTTTTTTTTTTAATTTAAAAAATATTATTTGTTTTATCTTTATTTTTTGGCCATGCCACAGAGCTTGCAAAATCTCAGTTCCCCAACCAGGGACTGAACCTGAGCCATAGCAGTGAGTATTCATTGGAAGGACTGATGCTGAAGCTCCAATAGTTTGGCCACTTGTTGTGAAGAGCTGACTTACTGGAAAAGACCCTGATGCTGGGAAAGATTGAAGGCAAAAGGAGAAGGCAGTGGCGGAGGATGAGGCAGATGGCATCACCGACTCAACTGACATGAATTTGAGCAAACGCTATATAGTGGAGGACAGAAGAGTCTGGTGTGCTGTAGTCCATGGAGTTGCAAAGAGTTGGACACAACTTAGCAACTGAAAAACCACCACACAGCAGTGAAAATCCTGAATCCTAACCACTAGACCACCAGGGAACACCCTGCTTTATGTTTGAATAAAGCTGAACTAGTAAATAAACACAAGTACAAAAGATCAACCAAGACTGGACTGAAATAATTTGACTTTTTTTTTCTTCAGTGGCATATTAAAATCTGATTCAGGTATAAGTGGGATGGAAGAAAGATATCTGAATGATATTGACCAAATATAATTTACAGTAAATGTGATAAATATAAATAACACATGATTTTCACTAAAAAATAGTTCTTTGTGTTACAATAAACATAAAATTTCTATAACTTACAATGAAAGACTTAGCAGGGTGAACATAGACAGCTTTGATGGACTCCTTTCCCAATTTTGAACCAGTCTGTTGTGTAGATGACAGTAATTGAAGTAGGTAGGCCTTTAGTATCAGGCTTTACGATAACGTGGCAAGAATTTAGGCTGTGCTCTTGTCAAAGACTTCGGTTTCCTTTAGAGTCTTGGTTTCTGTCTCTCCTTCTGTCTTTAGATTTCCCCCAAATTTCTTCTAAACAGACTCTGTGTCTTGCAGCTAGGTTGTAACCCAGTTATTAGTATTATTTTGGACCCCTGTTACTGTGATGATACAGTGTTGGAGAGGGAAAACGTTCTATGACCTTATGATTAAATCTCAGGGGTTTTAACCTTCAGAAGAATTTCTCAGCCTTTTTGTTCTCAGTTCGTGTGATACAGAGAGGCTAGAGGGGGCTCTGGTCATCTGTCTGCCCTCCTCTGAGGACAGATGAGGCTCTGAGGAAGCAGGCGTCCTCCAGGACAAGACTCTGTCATGAAGAACAGAGGGCTGCGGGCTCATTTCAAAATGGTCACTGTTCCTCTCCCCTGCAGGAAGCATGTGGGAATTTTTCTCTGATCATCACCTTAAGAACCAGGTATGTCTTCTGCAGGTAAAACTCACGAAAGCCTTGGGTCCCCCTAAAAATGGGGGGATTTTCAACTCCTAATCTAGTACATGTTCAGCCTCCAGCAATACTCAATTCTAGTTTAAGTATCTCAGGCGCCTGTGGCTTCTGCCCCTGGGGTGCAATGATTCTCTGCATTAGCAAGACATGAATGTGCCCTGAAACCTCAACTCTCCATTAGATCTAAGAGCTCAGCTGACTTTTAGAATGGCTGGTGTTGAGTTTGTTTAGCTTTTTCTCTTGTCGTGAGAGCAGGATAGATAACTTCTAAACTCTTCACATGTTAAAGCAGAAACCAGAAGACATTAAATAACTTCTTTTTGGTTTAAAGTATGGATCAGAAATAGCATGGACAAATGAGCATGTGTGGTTAAAATGAGAATTCTAAATGCACGTGCAAAGGCATGATTCTCTGTTCTCATGTAGCCCGTTAGTCGCTCAGTTGTGTCTGATTCCTTGTGACCCCATGGACTGCAGCCCGCCAGGCCGCTCTGTCCACAGGATTTTCCAGGCAAGAATACTGGAGTGGGTTGCCATTTTCTTCTCCAGGGGATCTTCCTGACCCAGGGATCAAACGCAGGTCACCTACATTGCAGGCAGACACTTTACCATCTGAGCCCCCAGGGAAATCCTAAGTGAAAGTGTTTGTGTCTTAGTCATCTCCAAGCCCACCAGGCTCCTCTGTCCATGGAATTCTCCAGGCAACAATACTGGAGTGGGTAGCCATTCCCTTCTCCAGTGGATCTTCCTGACCCAGGGATCGAACCCAGGTCTCCTGCATGGCAGGTGGGTTCTTTACTGTCTGAGACACCAGGGGAGCCCACATATAGCCTGCTTGGTCACAATTTGGCTTCTGCACTAGTAACAATGTAGGGGTGAAAAGATGGCCCCACACCACGTCAGAATATTTCTGAGCCGTCTGCGTGTCTCCCCTGTTAACACCTTTTTCTCCTTACACCTTAATTGCTGCCTGTTCTTCTGCTTGATTTTAACAACACACCCTAAGGCGATGTTCAACACAGACAACAGAGTTATCAACAGAACAGTGGAGGAGAAGGAAGAAAAAAAACAAAACAAACAGCTCTTCATGGGATATGGTCCAAATATCCATTATATAACAGCACAACAAACTTAACCAAAGCCAAGGAGCTCTGGGCAGCTGTGATCCAGGCAGCTCACGCCTGGAATGAAG